CCCCAAAACCCCAAAACCCCAAAACCCCAAAACCCCGATAGAAATTAATGCTTACATTTAATAAATTTAATCTAATTTTGAATTTATATGAAATATATAGAATTTTATAGTAAATGATATTATTTATTGAAATTTTACAAAAACTCTCTCATGTTTAGTTAAGATAAGCGATCAAATCATTCCCGTTTGCTTTTTCCTATTCAAGATATTCAACTGGAGATAAGTGTTTCTTATGCTGCATCAAAGTAAAGTGAATGTTTATCCATGGCTTATATTGAATTTTAAACTTATCAAGTAAAGACTAATATCTATCCTCCTTGTTAATTAGATTGGAGAAGTCTTCAAAGATAGGTATCCATGTCTTATCAATTTCATCATTAAGTATATCCTAAACATTCTTTTCCTGATCTTAATTAGTTTCAATCCTCAAATTTCCCAGTTGACTTAACTTTGAATAATCAATTTCATTCTTAGTCTTGAGCAATGAGAGTATATATTGGAAGTCACTTAGTAGACCTTTGTTTTCTAAAATTATCCTTAGATTTTAGATGCTTGTGTCTAAATTTATGAACAATTGAATTTTGTGGATGTCAGATGGATCAAGTAAATGAGATGCCGTAAATATTGCTAATAAATGCAAGCCAATTTTATCATTTGAAGGCTCGTTATCAATTAGAAGCTTGTTTATTTAAGTGATTAGGGCAAGACCAGCTACTCTGCAAGAATCTTTCTAAACTTTTGAGTATTGATTTGCTTGTGAAAAGCCACCTTTTAATCCGAATACCCTTTTGACCATCTAGATTGCATCAATCAAATTGTAATCTTGAAGGTTTTAAAGTACTTCAATAATAAATCTTCTGTCACTGCTTATTGTTTGATAGTCACTTCGATGCTTATCATACTTGATTTATTCACCTTATGTTAAGAATGGACCGTCCTTTGGATACCTAGGACTTTGATTGATTATCATGGCTTAAATCTTTTTTATAATTGGATCGTTTTAATCAAGGACAAAAAGACTTATTTCATTTATCTCTCTATAACAGATATCCAAGAGTATCTTTTTAAGAATATTTTCTTCATTTTATGCCAATAAATATCTAAAGATGCTCATATTCTGATTCATTCCGCCTTAAGAAGGTGGTTAGATAGGTTTATTTAAAGCAGCATTCTAATTCTTTATTTGATTGTTCATCTCTTAAATCTGGTCTTTTAGTGTTTAGATTTCAGCATACTTTTGATCATAACTTTTCTGAATTAACTTCACTGTTTGAGTTGCCTGATACGATAATATTTCTTATTAAAGTTTTTAATTATCTTCGCTGACAATTAGGTTGATATCTCCTGGGATCATTCTTGAGAAAATATGCAATTTATCAATTTACTGACCCTCAGTTGCTTTATATCTATAGATATCGGATTTTTCCATTTCACAAGCAGTTTCATCACTTACATACACTAGCCAGTACGCAGTCATCTAACCATGACCCCCGTTAGCTTCTTTGAATACATCTTCTTCTGATATATCAGTGACTCTAATGTCATTGAATTTTCTCCATTTCTTGTTGAATCTATCATAGATCAAAGCATAGTAATGACCACCATATGCATTTCCATCATGAATACACATAGCATGTAGATGATATGGATTATTATTCATCTAAGAATAAGCTTTTTTTATTTGATTAGTAATATTTTCTATTTAACTCTCCATAGAGATAATCTATTAACTAGTCTAATCAGCATATTTTTGTAAAGAATTAACTAAGTCTTGTGCGTTTGCAGGGATTTATCCTTGCTAGAAAGGATTGAATGATTCAACCTCCGGCATTTGCTTGAAACTTTCATCTGCCTTACCTTATTCCTTGAAGAATGCTGTAGCTAGTTCAAGAATCTTAGAGATATTATATTCACTTCCATTGAACTTCTTGTAGTCAGTTAAACATCTCTCTAGATGCTTTATCTTATCTCTAAGATTTGACACAGTCTATCTAATCATTTCACTCTTCTCTTTGTTCTGAATCAAAAATCTATCAACATATATTGTCTTTTCAACAATGAGAGGGTCTAGCTTTTTCACTGGATTTCCTTGTTCAAAACTGAGTCTGTTCAATTGCATGCATAAGATTTTTGGAATCTTGACAATCCAATCAACCTTTTCAGCTTGTGTTACATCGCCCTAGAATTAATTTAATTTTGAGAATTTACCTCAGTTGATTTGTAATCCTCAATAAAATCCTTGTAAGAATTTTCCCAAGCCTCATAGAGTTCTTTTGTTCCTAAGACACTCATCAATATCTCAATGAAGGTTTCATTGGTATCTTATGATTGTATTATATCATTTTTATCCTTGTAAGTAATAAAAGAATGTATTTTTCCAAAGAAATTTTCACCAACAACTCCACCCTCTTCTTCTATTTTTGACTTAGCGGGGGATAAAGAAGATGCTTATTTAATTAATTGATGATCCTTTGATTCATCCTGCATATCTGTGTCTTAAATATATGGTTCACCTTCCATAATGCTAGAATTGTTCATATCTATATCTTATACTATCTAATTTCCATCTCCATTTGCATTGATGTTACTTTCTTCCTTTCTTTCCTCGATATTCATTCGTTCTTAGTATTATTTTGCAATTAGCACCTTTGAGTTTAAGCCTTCAGATATTCTAGATAAGAAAGTTGAATTGAACTCTCCGATGTCTTTCTAGTCTCCGATTTCTACTGGATTTCCAAAATCATCTACTATAGCTTTTAAGACACCTGTTGGATCTGCATATTTCTTATCAGATCTCGCCATGAATGAGAATAATATCTTCATTTGTCTGATCAAGTTCCTTGCTGCCTTAATTCTTTTCTCAAACTATAGATCAATCTCCTAATCAAGTGCTTGATTCTTGTTAATGTTTGATAAATCTTCTTTATCATCAAAGTCCATTATGCTTTGGACAAAGCTAGGAATAGTATAATAGAATTGAAGCAGAGAGTTGAAATAACATGCTAAATTTGGTTAAGATAAATATAATTTTAATGTTTACTATTTCCAATATTCTATAGCCCACATGGAACATTATCTTCTCTTCTTCTCTATTCTGGATTTAATGGCTCATACTATGACATCGAGCCCTTATTCTATTCTAGACTAGCTTCTATTGCCTTAGCAATTTCAGCATCTTCATTTGAGATTGCATTCTAGATCATTAATCGTTAATTATTTTGCCTCAATATTTTTATTGTACTTACCAGTCCTGTCTAATTTTCCTTTTTCTCTTGCATTGAAATACTCTCTGCTATCACTTTTTTGAACTGCTCATCCTCACTGAATGTATCAAAATTAGACTTAAGTAGATAATTACTTGGAATTAGTAGCTACTGAAAAGCCATTGGTTAAAATGTGATCTACTGCATTGCTTACATCCCATTAGCAAATAACCAATGCTTATTTTGCTTGATCATTAGTACATTAGATTATATCAACAACCTCTCTGATTCTTCTAGAGTGTTCCATCTATGGTAAGTCTATAAATTCCGAATTATAGTCAACTTAAATTCATTACTGGACATATTTGTAATTCGGCAATTTAAAAGTAATTTTATATCTTTTCTAAAAAATCTTGAAGATTTTGAATTCCATTAATTTGAATTATTTATTGAACTAGGGGTTTTGGGGTTTTGGGGTTTTGGGG